CTGGGACGACCTCGCGCCCCAGAGAGCGCACCCGCTACACCGTCCTCGACAAGATCGAGCTGGTCGCCAAGGTGGCGGCGCACGCGGGCAAACTTGTGCTCAGCGGGCAGTATCGTGGCAGGCAAGTCAAGAGCCGGCAGGGCGCGCTCGCCGACGACCACCTGCGCGGAGCGCCCATGTCGCACAAATGGACGAAGAACCCAAGCGAAGGTGCGTCGGAGATCGTCAACGAGACAGTCGAGCGCACCCAGAATCGGTCGGCGTGCCCAGTGGCCCTGCTAGCCAAGCACCAGCGTGAGTGGTCAAGGGTGCGGAGCGTCCGCCCGCCAGACCAGCCCGATCAGGCCCCGCCCACCCTGCATGCGGCCACCGCTGCGGCGATCGAACCCAGCGGCCATGAGCACCGACAGCACCTACCCGGCGCAGAGCAAGTTTGCAAGGCACGCAGGCCCTTCAAGGCAAGGACATGCCAGCCAGGGGGCATCCACCTACGCCACCTGGGCTGGCTGAGCGATGTCGAGCCGCTGACGGCCATGCTCAACATCATAACAGAAGCTGGAGTCCCCCCCACGGAGGAGCAGGAGATGCTAACTGCGCAGCACATCAAGCCGACGGGAGGGCGAAGACCCATCGGCCAGCTCAAGCGCCCGCACCGCGCGCGGGGGAGATGCCACAAACCAGCCCGGCAGAAATGGTAGCGCACCCGAGATGAGCGAGGCATCTTCAACACGGGCACCTCGCGCAAGGTCACAGACTGCGATTGGCATACGGCGCGCGCGGAGGGTGCCACTGGGGAGGGGGGGGCGGGGGCGGGGCCTGCCCCCCCCCCCTGGGGCCCGGCCAAGGCCTTCGAGAAGGTCTCGCACGACATCCTGTGCAGCCTGGGTTGCATGGAGATGCTATCCCTGCGCGTCCTGCGCGCGGTCATCGGGGCCTTCCGCTGGAAGCGCGCCCCTCCTGGACTGCGTCGCGGGCGACGGTCTGCGCCCTGAGAACAGGATCTTCGCATGGTGCTTCTCCGGTGCTTCTCCGCCACCTACGCCCCGCAAGCCCACCCAGCGAACGAGCCGAGGGCGCAGGCCACGGCGCGCCCCGAGGTCGGGATCGCAGTGCACGTGGACGACGCCAGCCAGGAGGTTGCTGCGAACGATGGCTGCCCGCGGGCTCAAGAGCGCGCTGCGCGGCGAACTCAAGACGCGGGCGGCCGACGCCAAGGGGCACCACCCTACGGGGCAGCGACGTCATCACGGAGGAGGCACGCGGAGGTTGGCGGGCCTGGGCCCCCCCAAGAGAGAGAGATTGCAGCACCGACCAGGAAGCCTGCCGAAAGTCTCAGCGCGCAGGCAGACACCTGGAGACCCAGACCTCAGCCCGCCATCTTGGAGATGATTTTCGCGCGGGACGGCGACGGCACGGGGGTGCCATCAGGAAGGGCCACCCAGGCCCAGCGAGAGGCAGAAGGTGGATGGCGGCCAAACTGCGGCTCGCCGTGGCGCATCACGCGATCAAGGTCTTCAAGTGGACGCGGCGCACCCTTCGCTCGGCCACCCTGCCCATGAAGAAGTGGGGCGGCGAGGTCAGCAGCTTCGCCCTGACCGGGCTCGACGGCGCGCGGCGCGTCGCCAAATGAGTTCACAGGCACGGCCACATGTCACTGGGCGTTTTCGGCACTACCCACCAAAAGGCCGACCCCGTCCGCAAGGCCGCCTTCACGCAGACAAGCGGCACCGACATGGGAAAGCGCTGCCCATCACCACCATGCGCAGAGTGCCCGAACCTGCCCCCCAGGACAACCTCGCTGGCAAGTCGGAGGCAGGGCCCTTCGGAGCGGCAAGGAAGGCGAGCACCGTGGCAGGGCGGTCGGCGCAGGGTGCAACGGCGTTCGTCTCGCCGCGGCACGGAGCGCCGCCCGGAGAAGCTCCACCCGAGCGACGCGCTGAACCGAGTCCGCGGAAGCGCCGCCAACAGCGCACGACGGCGAGAAAGTCTGGACAAGATGCGCTCCCAATCCGGCAGGAGGTCGCCGCGGCGACGGTCGGTGGCCAGCACCTCACCTCGCTGGAGAAGTGGGCCACCACCGCAGTCGCAGGCGGCACCTACCTCACGGGCGACAGGGCGGTCGAGAGGGGCTACGACGCGAGCGCGGGCACGCGCGGGCGCTGCGGCGTGCGGGGCGACCTGCAGCGCTGCGCGAGCACGTGTTTTGCCTTCGCCGAGGGCCGCAGAAAAGCAGCCCCACCTCCGCATCGCCTCCAGCAGCCTGCGCCAGGGAACGGAGGTAGCCTCGGTCCGCCCTGCGCGCAAGCCCCGTCGCTACCCGCCGCGCCCGACGCGGCCTGTCCCAGGGCACCTGAGAGCCGACGCGCGAGCGCCCGTGCCCTCTGCGGCGCGATCTGCGCGAGGCGGCGGGCGGCCGCCAGCGGTGCGTTCAGCGCTTGCACGGATTCCGGGGCGCGAAGGCTGGGATGGCCTCCGAGCGCGGGCGCGAGGCGCCCAAGAGCTGGAGGGGCTTGCGAGAGTTTCCAGGCTCCCATGTCATGTGGGGCGCGGCGATTGGCCCTGAGGGCTGATCACCTGACCAGGGTGACTGCTTGCCGAGCTGTGCAACGCGCGCAGCGTGCCCAGCTGCGCCACGTCGGCCAGGCCAAGAGCAGCCCAGCGAAGCAGCCTGGTTTTGTCTTGGACGCGATGGGCAAGGAGCGGCGGCGCCGCTTCAAGCGCGGCCTCCACCCTAGAACTGGAAGGAGGCCGCCCTTGAATGCCGGGCCCTCATGGGTCTCGGATTCCTCACTCACGGGAGTGAGAACTGTGCGTAGTCCACCTCTGCAGTTGGCACGTTCGGCGGGCGCCCGCAGGGGGGGGGGGGGGGGGGGGGGGGGGGGGGGGGGGGGGGGGGGGGGGGGGGTAGGGGGGGGGGGGGGGGGGGGGGGGGGGGGCAAAAACCGCCCTGCCCCTGTCACGTTGCTCGTTGTTGTACCAGGCGTGACCTTGATGAGAGCGGTCGTCGCTGCGCGAGGTGTAAAGTAAACGTTCTGCACCCAAGGAGTGCCTCGCAGAGTGGCTCGAGACCCCGCGCTTCCCTTTGCAGTATGTCGACGGCGTCCTTTTGCGCGCGCTCTCGAGGTGCAATGTCCATTGTGCGGGGGGAGGGGGGGGGGGGGGGGGCGGGCTGCTGCATGCCTCGCGTAACTTGAGGTTTCACATCAGTAATATGCACTGCGACCCGCCGCTGCCCATCCCCAGCGAATCTGACACCGTCCGCTTTGTCGCGCCACCGCTCGGTGACGATGACTGCCGGCCGCTTCACATTCCCATGCTATGGGCCAGCAGCGACAAACACAAGATGGTGGAAGTCCTGCTATGTCCCACGGGTAGTGGCCGGATACCAACTCAAGGAAAGTGTCAAAATACTCTTGCCGCATCCAAACCGCGTTCCACGCGCTAACAAGCAGCGTACGATCGGCCCCTCGATGTACACGCAAATTCCCCCGATCGCCCTCCCAAGGAAGTCACTGACGGCGTGTGGGGTAAGATTATGCCTGCGCCTTGTCAATGACAATACCTGCGTTGGATGACAGTGTCGTCCCAAACGAACTTCCCCTCCTCAATATCCCAATTCATCACCGCCCAGTCCTCAATTCATACACTACCCCTCTGAACATCAACAACTACCTGCTTGTCGGAAAAAAACTGTTCTGGAAGTACGCGGCAATGGAGAACACCATCGAATTGGACTTCCGCGGCTCCACAGACTTGTCAACCTTCGTGCAGATGGCGGCGCCGTTGAACTGGATATTCTTGCTTTTCCAAAATGCGATTAAGTCGAAAACGGCCTGCTTCGAAGGAACCCTGACCATAGCCGCGGTGGAGCGCACGTTGGGCGCAAACGCCTGCTGGTTTTTCCAACGAACCTCCTTCGCGAGCTCCGTCTTCAAGAAACAGCATCATCTCTTCAGGTGTCCAGGATCACCCGGGGCGTGTCCCACGCCCGCCCAAGCGTCCACGCGCGCCTGCAAGGCCTCGAGCTTGCGGGTGACGTCCTCCTCGTTTCTTCAGCCTATTGTTGATTTTCTACTCGATCAGCTTGCCGACCTGGTCCACGATGTCCTTGGTCAGCTCCTCCTTCAAATTGCTGTTGCATTCCGTCATGATTTAGCGGATCTCGGATGCGGAAGCCATCGCGGGTAAACCTGGGCGCGGTAAGCGGGCAAGCCTGCGAGCGCGCGTGCGCGCGCGGGTATGCTAAATATTCCGCTTAAGCTTGATCCCTTGAGCCCCTCCTCCCTCAGCATCCTCCTCTCTTACCTCCCATTCCCTCCCTCCTCCCGCCCCTGCCTTCCCCCAGCATCCTCCTCTCTCATCCCTTGACCCTTTTCCTTCTCCCATTCCTTCTGTCCTCCCGCCCTTCCCCCTTCAGCATCCTCCTCTCTTCCCAGTCTTCCGGCGTCTTGATGCTTCAATACGGGGTTCCTGGAACTCCCAACCCTTTCCCCAAGGCCGGTTGTTCGTCCTGGGCCGCTGCTTGTTTGAAGGTCCCGGGCCCAGCGAGGCCCCCAAAGCCAGACAACCCGCGTCCGAAAAGTTTCAGCAAGACGATGAACGTCTGGGTTCCTCTCTCCTTTTCCTCGCGCAGCCACCAAGAAAGCTTCACAGCAAGCACCCCTGCTGCCCTGCTACCCTGTTCGCGAGTTCAGGCGCCCTGCCGCCGTACGCCGCCAGCTCTCTGCGCCTGCTGCCCAGCCGAGCGCCAGGAAGGTCTAGACCCCGAGCGCCCACCTCCTTGTCCCCCCCTCCCCTCCATCCTCTCCTGTCCCCACCTCCCCCTCCTGTCCTCCATCCTCTCGTGTCCCCTGTCCCCATCCTGTCCCCACCTCCCCCTCCTGTCCTCCATCCTCCCCCCTCCCCCCCTGTCCCCATCCTCTCCTGTCCCCACCTCCTCTCCTGTCCCTCCTGTCCCCACCTCCTATCCTCCCCCTCCCCCCCTTGGGCAAGGGCAAGAGGCGCGACGCGCCGCGCCTTGACGCAAACCCCCGCCGGACCCGGCGGGCCGCCCGCTCTTGTCGCGCGACGGCCTGGCCTCCCTGTCCTTTTTGGACAGCGGCCTCTGCACGGGCATGGGGAGGGTGGGGGGAGGGAGAGTTGGAACAGGGAGGAGGAGGATCTTCTCAGCGCCGACATCCACGAGACAACTGCCACTGCCTCTGCGCATTGAAGCCCTGAAATATGGACCTGGGAGCCACCATGAACCAAGCTGGCTTTGTCAAAATGGAAACTGACAGGCCTACAGACCTTCGAAGCAGTTCCAGTCCACGCAAATATCTGTATGTTTGAGCGCTTGCCGTAAACCTTTTTTCATATCCACTCACGGCTTGCAAACATGTCCCGCGGGTACAAGGTGGAAGCATTATCCTCTCGTCTTAAAACGATCTTATAGTAGGCCGCACAGCGCATACATCTGAACATTATTGCAGGAGGGGCGCCGTCACAGCATGGCAAACTGATATTGTAACGGCCGTCGCTCCCTAGAACCAGAAAGTCGGCCAGCACAGCCACCCCTGAACAGGAGCCGCAGGATGGGAAGGCGCCAGGACTGGAACGACAATATCTGCATCAGACCGGGCATCGCAAGCGTGCTGCCATACGCTGCCAGATGTGAGGGCATAATGCTTTCTTTCGGCCTCCAGCTTGCCCAGGCTTAGGAGCCCTCAGCACATCGATTAAGCACAAGCGGGGCCACCGAAAGAGAAGCGCTACTGCCAACCTACACACGGCGCTCGCAACGACAAGCGCTGAGGAGAAAGCCTCCTCTTGCTCTGCCGAGGCTGCCGAGTGCAAACGAGCGCCCGTATTGGCAGCCTTGGGAATACCCCGGGCAGAAAACACTCCAGACTCAGACACTCCGTGCTCCTCCAATGACGGGTGAGCCTTGGCTTTCTGCACAGATCGAATGTGGCGCTGCGCGCGGCGAGCGTGCACTAGAAGCCCTCCGTGGGGCTGCTGATGCAAAAACTGCTCACAGGGCGGAGGGGGGCGGGCCTGGATGTGGACATAAGAGCACTCCGCACACAGATTGAATTGTCTTGCCAGCACCTGCTCACGACGCCCACACGACGCAAACTCGCCCGCCTGTGGCGTCTGCGTAAAACCCAAGGAATCCACGAACTTCTGACACATTGAAACAACGTTCCTACTGCAGCTACCGCCAATGGAGATCCCCTGAAACAAGATGGTCCTGGGGACTCTCGGGGTCCATGGCCAATGAGGGGTCCCGCGCAGCCTAGAACGGCGGAGCATCGCGCCTGGACTCCGCTTGTAGAAGGGGCGCGAGATCGACTCGACTTCGCATCGTAGGCATTTTGCCTTCATCAAAGCACGCCTGACATCACGTCCGATCACTCAAACCACCTGTCTGCCAGAGGCTGAAAAGGAACTGGGGCGCGGGGCCCGCTTGACCACATCGTAGCGCAGCCTCTTGAACAACACCTGAGCCACGATCAAAAACCAGTCTTACGCGAGATCACACCGCGACCTTACGCGGTAGCTTACGCGAGCCACCAGCGCGGCAAGCCACATTGGAGACGAGGGAGCTTACGCGCGACCTTACGCGGGGAGCTTACGCGCGAATGTCGGCGCAGTCGAACCCGTTTTTTGGCGTCGCTCACCTGGGAGTCCTCGGCCACCCTCCTGCCGATCTCACGAACGACTGCACCTGAAGGAGCGACTTCGGGGCCCTGGAGCAAACTCGGCGAGCGACAGCCCCCCCCCCGAACTCATTCTAAGGCTTCTTAGATCGATGTATGTATACATATGTGTGTATGTGTATGTGTATGTGTATGTGTATGAGTATGTGTATGTGTATGTGTGTATGTGTATGTGTATGTGTGTATGTGTATGTGTATGTGTATATGTGTATGTGTATGTGTATGTGTATGTCCATGTGTATGTGTATGTGTATGTGTATGTGTATGTGTATGTGTATGTGTATGCGTATGTCTATTATGTGTGTGTTCAAGAACCATGGACCTTCTCGAAGGCGACGCAAGGGGCGATGAGCGCCCACAGTGCACGGCGCAGCGAGTTCAGCATGGCAACGAAAGGTCCCGCAGCCGCTCCCCGTACCCCGCGCTCCAACCTGGCGAGCAAGACGGCCCGCGCCTCGCGCTGGAAAAAACACGAAGATAGATCCGCTCCAAAGCGTTCCGGAAAGCTCTCAGAGTGTTCCGGAACGCTCTGAGAAGGCCGCGGCGCCCGAGATATCCTCAGAGCCGCGGGGTCTCAGAGATTCTCGATGTGTCATCACCGAAAGTTACCTCGTCCTGGCTTCGTCTTAGCCGACAAACAAACGAAAAAGACAGCGCATCAGCTTCTGTGTGCGATGGCGACAACTCCTTAGCATAGCGCGCAGCGGGCGACGCCGACGCATGCCGCGCCCCTTTGTTCCCCTGCTTGAGCTTGCCGTTGAAAGACGCGCCCTCGCAGTCAGGGCCCATGGCCGACCAGGCAGATTGGCGGAACCCACGGGCCCCCCGTCGGAAATCCCGCGGAACCCACGCCCCAGGGGCATTCCTGGAATTGGAGCGCCAGAATGTTCTTCGCGCACAAAGCTGTGGACATCCACCTTCAGGAAGATTTCGCGCCCCCCCACCCCACGGGTGCGCGCGCGCCTAACCTTAGGCGGGTCTGGCACGGGGTTCGCATGATATGGGCTCGCCTGCGCGACCTTCTGCTGCGAAATCTGCGCTCGAGCCGACGGCGCTGTCAGCGCCTGCGAGCGGGCCAGCCATGGCCCCGAGAAGCACGCGTAGCTGCCTGGCCGCGAGGCCATCCGAGCAGACCCAACAAATTGCCCTGGCTGGCCTGAGAGAGTAAAATTTGAGAGCCACGCTGCCCCGCGAGAGCAGGCTCCCGCCTGGCAGAACTTCCCTGCAAACCCACCAGGGCATCCTTAGCCGAGCCCGTGGCGTCAAGCCCCGAATCGTCGATGAACCAAGCCAAGTGAAACCCATGGAGGAAAGTGGTTGGATTTCGGCTGCCCCGGGAAGTACACCCGAACGAGAGACGCGGCCACCGAACAGCCTGCCACCGCCTTGCAAGGGAGGGAGAAGGGCCCCGCCTCTGCAGATGCCAGTCCAATGAATCCCCCGCGCTGGTGTGTGAAAATGCGCAGGAGAGCGATGGCCCGCGGGATACCGAGACGCACGAGCACAGCCAGCAGCCGCCCTATGAGAAATGGTCATAGCCAAGAGGCCTCCAAGAGGGCCCCAAGACGGCCCAAGAGCGCCCCCACACGGCCCCAAGAGGGGCCCCAGGGAGGGTTAACACGAACCGAAAATCTGGGCCTTCCGCCCCAAGAGGCCCCAGGAAGCCCCAAGGGGCGCCCTGGAGGCCCCAAGAGGCCCCCCGAGACACCCCAAGAGGACCCCAAGAGGCCCAGAAGATGCCCCAAGCGGCCCCCAAACGGCCCCCAAGAAGACTCCGAACTGCCTCCAAGAGGCCCCTGAGAGGCCTCCCACGAGATCCCAACGAACATCCAATAGTACCCACAACCCAGGCATGGTGGCGGCATGGGCCGAGAGACATTAGATCCATGATACCTAGATATACATACGCATGCATCTGACAGCATTCATAGAAGACATATAAGTGCACATATACATACATATACACATACATGTATGCATGTACACAACTACACCTATACATATACATATACATGTATATTTGCATACGGATGCACATACACAGGACGCAGATTGACAAATCACACCCCCGCTTTGACACAGCGAACCGCCGAATGCAGGGGACCGAGGAAAACTGGCGGCCGACATGCATGGCCCGCCTTGGCACAGCCCGGACGCCAAAGGCGAGGATCGAAGAGCTCTTAAACGATGCAGCAAGGAGCGGGACCAATGCGAGAGCATCACTCCGAGCCATGGGCCCCGGGCCCCAACCCGGGCCACACCGCAGCCCACGGACCACGGGCCCGAAGAAACCACGACGGCCCGTTTTCTGTGCTGAACACCTGGGAGCTTGTGCTGGGCCCCTGGACCCTCCAGAACGACCCGAGGCGCTGAACCGGTCCCAGGGATGGGGCCGAGAACTGCGGGGAGCCACGTGGTGAATCATCTCGACGTCGGAGGTCTGGGACCCCTCCTCCTCCCCGAGGTCCACGTTTTATCGGCGTGTCGGAGGCTATCCGAAGCCATCTGAGGCGATCTGAGAAAATACTAGAGAAAACGTTTGAGAGGGCAGTCGAGAGGACATCGGAGATAATGGCCGAGACTGCATGGACGTCAAGAATGCCATAGCCCTGTTCCTCCATCTGTCTCGCATGAGCCTAGGGAAGCCCGCATAGCAATGAAGACACAGCGAGGCGACGACACAGGACGGAAAGCGCTTGCGCGCGAGAGCCTGTCTCCAGCAAGAGCCGCAGAGTGACGAACCTGCCCTGGCCCACATCCTCTTCTTCCTCATCCTCATCCTCATATTCCTCAGCCTTCTCTTCCAGCTCATCCATTCGAGGGGGCAAGAGAATCGTTATCATCGTGTTTCTTCTCTTTCTCAGCAGTCTTCTCCGCCTGCTTGAAACCGTGCACATATAAGCGAGTCCCCTCGGCACGAGTGTAGCTCTCTGCTTGAATTGCGGCCCAAGTAGCTCAGCAAGGCTGAGTTGCGTGAGAGGGCTTCGTAATGTCCTCAGACCACTACGTGGGATAGCCTGTTCATGTTCCTGTGTCCCGTTCCTGCTGGTTCCTCTTTGTCCACCTGCTCCTCCTGATCGAAGACGCCTGCGCCGAATCACCGCCGCCCCCTGCCTTTTTGGAAACGCCTATGTGGCCGAGCGTTGTGGCCAGAGGCCTGCCAAGCTATCGGACCATGTGTTCCCCGAATCGGTTTGCAGGCTGGGCCGACTTGGGGCTGTCTTGGGGTGCTCCAGGGCCGTCTTGGAGGCCATCTTGAGCGTCTTGGAGGCCTCTTGGGCCGTCTTGGGGGCCCCTTGGGGCCGTCTTGGGGGCCTCTTGGACCGTCATGGGGCCATACTGGAGACCTCGTGGGCGATCTTTGGGGGCTCTTGGGCCGTCTCGGGCCGTCGGAAGGCCGAAAAGAACCAAATGCCA